CCCCGCTCCATCCTGCCCTGCCATAGGCCAATGCAGCTTTATTTATCAACCAATCAGAGCAACACATACTCACAGCATAAAGAAAGACATCCCACGGCACCTCATATCCTACTCCCCCTGCTCCTCCATTGTGGTCCCCCAGATTCTTTTCCTCTTCCATGTCCCCTGTACCTTTTGTCCACTCTCCATCCTTCCTTATTACCTAATATTGCCCTCTCTTGGGCTCCTTTCTAGATGTTTAGATGTTACCCCCGACTCACACCTGTTTCCATGTATATATATATATATATATATATATATATATATATATATATATATGTGTGTGTGTGTGTGTGTGTGTGTGTGTGTGTGTGTGTGTGTGTGTGTTGTAGACTAGGACTTGCCTATGAGGGAGAACATGAAGTTTCTGCCTTTCTGAGTTGGGTCATGTCACGTAATAGTATACTTTTCAGATCGATCCATTTCCCTGCAAATTTCATGATTTGATTCTTCGTGACAGGCTGAATAGCATTCCATTGCGTATATATACCACAGTTTCTTTTCATTCATCTGTCGTTCAGAGATAAGAGTACACGTAGCCCAAGGCAGGTGGGGAGTTGAGGGGTTTCTCAGGTTGCTAGGTGAACTGTCTGGGTGTAGGGTGTGTGTGTACTTAGTGTGTGCAGGTGAAAGAACTAGACTGTGCAGTGCATTATTACAAGAGGACCATGTGTATAACCCAAAACCAAATAGGGCCCCAGGGTACTAAACTGTCTCCTATGCTCGCCTGCCTCATCACTACTGATGGAATAGAGAGCAGAAGGGAAAGAAGAACAAGAAGAAGGCTGCTGACGGCACTACAGGATGAAGTAGTAGCTGAAGAGACCGCTCAGTAGTTAAGATCACTTGCTGCTCTTGCAGAAGCCCTGAGTTTGGTTTTCTGCACCCGTTCAGATGCCTCACAATTGCCTATAACTCCTGTCCATTCTGGCTCTGTGGGTGTACACACACACACACACACACACACACACACACACACACACCATCCTATACCCCCATACACATAACACCCCCATACACCTAATTAAAAATAAGTCAAAAAATTTAAAACAGAATAAATAAACACAAAGAATCACATAGAAAAGCTTATGTGACTGTTACCTCTAATAGGCCACTATTGATGGGCCAAAGAAATTATTTCACCTAAGTCCAGCTTAGTGAACAAGTGAGTTTATTGGAGGTGTTTACAGGCCTATGGATGCATAGTTAATTACAAGGGCATGGGTGATTCAAAGACAGCTGCACAATTGAAAAGGTCATCCTAAAATAGATGATAATTCACAAAAGTTGCATCTCTGGAGCTTCCTGCATGACTTGCAGGCACTTTGACTGGTGGGAGAATCTCCTCTCCCTAGCACATATGTAACTGCTTGTATCACCTTGGGAAGGGTGCTATTGTGCTATTGTGTGTGCTTCAGGAGCTTCCTGAGCCTTGTGTGTTTCCCTTGTTTCCTGAACATTTTGAGCTGGATTTCCCAAACCTTGCCATTTTCCTTTATTTCTTGGGCCTTTTAGTTTTAATTCCTGACTTTTAATAATCCTCCTTCTGGGAAGGAGTGTTTCAATTAAGAAGAAATAGTGACAGAACATAACAGAACAGAGCTATCCAATAATGCAGGAAATTAGGGAAAGTGGGGAATAGCCAGCAAGCAAACAAAACCCAGAAAACAAGAACCCAACCAGGAGGTTTAAAAAGAATTAACTTCTTTAAAAAGAAGACAAGAGTTTTGACCCCCTGATGCTTCTAGACCAGTAAAACATAGATAGCTATATGCTTCCAAGCCATTTAAAAAATAGTTAAAAATCCCAAGACTTGATGCAGTGACTCATCACTATAATTCCAGCACTTGGGAAGTGGAGGCAAGAGGATCAGGAGATCAAGACTAGTCTTGGCTGAATGGTGAGTGTGAGGTCAGGTTAGGATACAGCATAGCCTCTATAACAAAAAATAAACAAACAAACAAAAAACCCTACAAAAATAACCCCCAAAGCTAGAATATTCTAGAATTAGAGTTCTATTCCTCCTTTCTGCTAGCTACATGACTTAGAGAAAATTAACTCATTATTGCTTGTACCTCAGTTTCCCCGGGTTGTTTTGAAGATGAAAAAAGTATTAATACTTGCCATGCTTGCTATGGTACCACATTCCCGGCCCTGTGAAACTGAGGCAGAGGATAAGGAATTTAAGGATAGCCTGGGCTACATAAAGATTCTGTCCTCCAAACCTAAACCAACCAAGCAAGCAAGTTAAATAACCCCATACATGCAGATGGACTCAATGAAAGCCCACCCTTTTGATGTTATGAAATGATGTTTTCATTTACATATGTGTTGGATGTCGTGCATAGCTATCCTTGGACACACCCGCTTAGGTAAGATGTGATTCATAACAAGTGCCCTGAGCATTAGTTTGCAGTGCTATTGTGTGTGCATGCACGTGTGTGTGTGTGTGTGTGTGTGTGTGTGTGTGTGTGTGTGTGTGTGTGTGTATGTGTGTATAGGCATGGGTGTGTGTGCATATAGGTACCTGCAAGGGACAGAAGAGGGTACTGGAGTTTCCTGTAGCTGGATCCAGAGGATACTGTAGCTGTAGTTATAGGTGGTTGTAAGCCGCCTGATGTGGGTACCGGGAACCAAACTCAGGTTCTCTGTAAAAAATAATATGCATTCTTAACCGTTAAGCCACCTCCCTAGACCTGGTTGGTTAGCTTTAGTTGTCAATGTGACACAACCAAGAATCGCCTGGTCCCAATGTGGTCCACATTGGGCTCACCTGTGAACACGTCTGCAGGAGGAATTTTTTTAAATGAAATTAATTGATGTGGGGAGACCCAGCCCACTGTGCTGTTTCATAGGCAGGAGATGCTGGACTGTGTAAGATCACAAGCAAGCAAGTAAGATGCTGGACTGAGAGATCACAAGCAAGCAAGTAAGCAAGCAAGCCAGGGCATGTGTTTATTTACTTCTCTCTGTTCCTGATTGTGGATGTGCTGTCTCACAGTACCACCACCGTGACTTCCCTGTAGTGATGGTCTGTAACCTGGTGTCATGAGCTAAAACAAACTCTGTGGACAAGGATATTTTATCACAGTAGCAGTAACTAGGACCCCATGATTATCTGAAACCAGAGCCCTAGGTATAAATGCACGATACCATAACTGCACAGAAAGCTGGCTCAGGACTGTTGGGTGCCATGGGCCATGGCTCCAAGTTGGCTGTCTTCAACTCAGAGATCCCAGACAGAGTGACAGAGTCAGGCAGTCTGTGCAACTAGGAGGCAGAAAAAAAAAAAGCTTTAGGGGCAACAAAGAAAGTAAATGAGAGAAAGTGATTGTTAATGTGGGGAGAATGGCTAGACATTCCACCCCTGAGGATACCAGAAAAATGAACACAGAGCTTCTGTACTAAGAGCTCTTTTGAAGAAATTGAACAAATGTTCTCAAGGAAGGCAAGAGCTCAGCTTCCCCAATGCCCAAGGGGCGCTTGGTGGAAAACACTCTAGAGCTATGATTTCAACCACCGGTCCAAGCAGATGGGTTCAATAAAGCCAATGGTTATTTACATCAATGGGAAGACCACATGGGCTTATTCCTGGCTCCTGGGATCGGGATGGGAAAAGGAATGATTGAAATGATTGAAATCCTGAGTGGGGGGAAATGGACACTCTAACGAGAAAAAAATGTTTAAGCTTAGCCTAATTCTTTTCATCTTGGAGCCTCCGAGGGCTCCGAGTGGGGCTCCCAAAAAACTCAGACCCGTACCAGCTGTGTTCCAAGACAGGGGAGTTGCTCTACTGTAGATGGAGGAACCAGTGTGATGGGAGAGTATAGGGTTGTCTAGTCTGCTACACAGCTGTGCTTTAGCCTTTTTTTTTTTTTTTTTTTTTTGAGATAGAGTCTTGCTCTGTAGCCCCGGCTGGCTTGGAACTCCCTGTGTAGGCCAGGCTATCCTTAAATTTGTGGTAAACCTCTTGGTTCTGCCTTCTGAGTTCTGGGATTACAGGCATGTATCACTATACCCATTCCCCATTTCTCACATACTTAGGCTAGTGTCTTGAGAACTCGCCATATTAGAGTTGATCCATCTCCTTGTGTCCTGGGCTTGAATTCCTCTCCTGAGAGTCATTATGGAGCAAAAGATTATCCAATCAAATTTTGTATGAGTCAGATGCTGGAATTACATGGCATGTATATTTACTTTGTTTGTCTGATTTATTTTATTTGTTTATCTTTTACAAATTTATTTGCATATGTGTGTATGTGTGTGTGTGTGTGCATATGTGTTCCTGTATGTGTGTGTGTGTGTGTGTGTGTGTGTGTGTGTGTGTGTGTGCATGTGTGGTATGGACAAGCTATGATGCATGTGGAGATCAGAGGGATAGTCAGTTCTCTCCTTCATTCAAGTGGGACCCTGAGATTGAACTCAGGTCACCAGGCTTGGTGTTAAGCTCCTTTACCCAGTGAGCCATCTCACTGGCCCCCATTTTTTTTAAAACAATGAATGAACTTGTGAGCTCCTCGAAGGAATGAAGCATGCCTTCTTGTGTGCAGTAATAGTTTAGGATGAGCAGTAGATGTTTAGGAAACTTTTGAAATTCAAATAAAACTAAAATGAATAATTAGATCTCAGACAATACAAGAGTCACCTTGTGCCTCCAGTGAATGATTGAACTCCATAGACATGAAATACAGAATAAAATACACTTTATATAAAGGTGCCATTGAGCATAATGGGATCCTTCTCGGATCATTCAGAAGCTCGCCAGGATCCTGCAGAATCATCATTAGCACTTCAGTTTACTCTGGCAGCGGCCAGCCTGGAGTTCAGGTGGCTGGCTACTGTTCTAGAAAGCAGTCTTCTTCTTCTTTTTTTTTTTTTTAAAGCCAACAATCTGCCTAAGCATTTTTAAAGTGCATATTATAATCAAATCCATGATTATTATTATTCTTTTTACAAAGCAGTTAATTTTGAAGAGCTGTTGGGTGGAGAAGAGGGTAATTAATGGCGCCTATCTGGGAGATGAGCTTGCATAATCCAGTCCTTGCCTACGAGCAGTTGAAGATTCAGCGCTGAAAAATGGCAGTCATGGTCCTGAAGAGTGGAACTGGTCACTGAGGCAGCACCAGGTAGGGTCTTAACTGGTTTTGTTTGTACAAGTGACAGTGCATTGAAAGTCATGCCTTAGGTGCAATTGTAGGATTGCACCATCCTAAAGGTCTAAATGGACATAGTCACCTATGAAAATGATACAAAACTAGGGAATGGCAAAATGGCTCAGTGGGTCAAGGCGCCTGCCCCAGAGCTGGATGACATGAGTTCAACCCTGGGACCAGTGTGGTGGAAGGAGAGAATAGACTCTCTTGAAAGCTGTCCTTTGACCTCTCCACATTCCCTCTGGCACGTGCACCCACACACCACACACAAACATAAATAAACAAATGTCAAAGTAAAATACACAAAATACACAAGACCAAAGTTCATTAATGAAAGCCGCTGAAGACTTCGTTATTCTCTTTCAGTAATTGGTAGATAAACAGATAATCATTCAGGTCAAACTTGACCTAATATAATCTACTGAGTTACATGGGAAACATAGTTACTCCTATTGTCTTTAGTTTCCTTTACTTCTTTTTAAAAATAACATTTTAATTGGCTTTTTGGAAATTTCATACATGCATATAATGTATCTTGGTCATATCTATCCCCCCTCTCTCCCTCCTCCTTCCCCTCCTCCTTCCCTCCCTCTAGCTCTCCCCAGGATCCCTAATCACATAACCCTCCCTACTTCATGTCCTCTTTTAAAAAATACTTATTTATTTACTTATTTTTAACCCATTGAGCCCAGCTAGTGTTGTCTCCATGTGCATGGCTGTGGGGTCATCGGCTGGGGCATGGGAACATAACATGGGCCGTACATCCCCCCAAAGTGACTGTTCCTCTCAGAGTCATCACCTGCCAATAGTCCCTCAGCTAGGAGCGTGGCTTGGATTTCCTTCCCTTTCCACCCTGGAAATTTAACCTGCTACATCTTATACCAATGACCATAGCTGCCGTGAGATCACATGAGTAACAACCGTGTCATGCCCAGGGGACAGCGTTTCACAGCATTGAAATGCTCCCCGTACTCTGACTTTCACATCCCGTCAGCCTCCTTTTCCTAGATTCATATACTTTCTGAACTCTGGTTTAATTAAAGCAGAGGTTGACACTTCCCTTTGTGTTATGTCTTGGACAATTGCTTCCTTTCAACGGACTTGTCTATAGTTCATTTGACCCTTACAGACAGTATCTTTCAGATGGGTAACAAAGTCTGTGCCAATGAGACGAGTTGGGTGCTGTGTGTGTGCAGGTGCATGTGCAAGTCCCAGGGATCCTCCCATCTCTGCTTCCCCAGAGTGCATTACAGGCTTGTGCTTCTGAGCTTGGCTTTCTAATGTGGGTTCTGGGAAATCAGATTCAGGTCCTTGCGCTTGCACTGTGAGCACTTTAGTGCCTGATCATTCTCTCCAGCTCCTGAGTGTTTTGATTCTCTTCTTACAAGCTTCAAAGGGATAAAGGGACTTGGCTTCAATTATCCAGCTAGGAAGTGACAGATCCCAACAGGCAACCAAACATGCTGGGTGTGGTCACCTATGCCTGTAATCCCAGCACTTGGGAGATGGAGACAGGAAGATTGCAAGTGTTAGGCCAGCCTGGGCTGCATAAGGGGACCCTGCAGAGAGAGCCCGGGGAAGGAGGAAGGGAGGGGGAGGGGCAAGAGGGAGGGGGAGGTGAAAGGGAGGGGCAGAGAGGGAAGGGGAGGGGAGAGATTAGATTCTTCAGATCATTGGATCATTCCATCCACTCCATTGAGTTTTCTCTCAAAATAACTGGGTTGGAGAGAGGTTTCTTTGCATATTGCTATTTTGGACGTCGTAGGCACAGCATTAGAGGAGACACCCCCCACCAACACACTCCACATCTGTACGATATTCCCTTCCAGAAATGTTTTTGAAAACAGCAGCTAGTGTTTATTAAGTCATTCCGAATTTGACAGGGTACTGTCATGTATTCAATGCTTCCCGCCCTCTCTTGAGAGCTCTTCTGCAATGAGACCCTCCCTCCCACCCCCCACCTCCTACAGACCACTCTATTTGAAGCTTCCATTGCTTGGAAAAGAGTCAGGGAAGAATGGCCTCAAATATTTGGCTTTAAAGTACATTCTTGTGTAAATCAGAGAGAATTTGGGAAACACACATCGTGTTAGTATTTTGTTTTTTTAGTTCCCAATACCAGAGACCACCCCCCCCCTTTTTTTTAAAGGGGGAGAAAATGGTCTGAAAGGACACAAGTCACAAGCTAACATTGATTCCTCCTGTCTTTCTTCAATTCTTTTTCTAGTCTGTGTTTTTGTTGTTGTGATAAAATCCTCCAACCAAAAGCAACTTAAACAGGGAAAGGATTTATTTGTCTTACACTTCTAGGTCACAATTCATCACCGAAGAAAGTCAAGGCATGAACTCAAGCAGAAACCATAGAGGAATGCCGTTTGCTGGCTTGTTGTCTGGCTTTCTCAAGGGCTCGTGCTCTCTTATACAGCCTAGGTCTACCTGCCTAGGGATGGTGCCATCCACAGTGGGCGTGGTGCCCCTTACATCAGTCATCAATTAAGGCACCCTCCCCAATCATGCCCACAGACCAATATGATTTAGGTGATTCCCAAATTGAGACTCTTCTAGATGACTCTAGGCTGTGTCAGATTGACAGCTGAAGCTAACTAGGACATTCTTTATACCAAGGACAGTGAGTAACAGACCTCCCCAAGGCCTTTGAACACCTGAGCAGATAGAGGAGGGAGTACTTTGTGGACAGTAGTCATGGAACTCTGCAGACATAGCTCTGCAAAGAGTCTAGGCTGTCGAAGGGGAACGAGGTCCTCTGTGGTCCTGACTCACCTCCTTCTCTCACTGCTGTGACCAAACACTTGAGAAGAAGCAATTGAAGGGAAGAAGCTTTGGCTCACACTTTGAGGGTCCAGCCCATCATGGCGGGGAAATCATGGTGGCGGGGTGTGTGTGAAGCAGCTTGTTACACTTACACCCACAGCCAGGGGACAGAGAACAACCACTACTGGCTCTCAGCTCCTTTTATCCCTTTTATTCAGTCCAGGAGCCTAGCTCAATGGCACAGCCTTACTCACATTCCAGGTGGATCTACCTGGAAATACCCAGACAGCCTACTACCCACAAGTACTTCATTAATGTTGAAAGAAGTGTGCTATGCTGTATGTGTATATATGTGTGAGTATGAATATGTATGTGTGGTGTATGTATGTGTGGTATGCACATATATGTGTGGGGGTGGGGGGTGCACTCTTGTTCATGTATGGAGGTCCACCGAAGACATAGGGGAGTATCATGTTCTACCATGTTCCACTAATTCCATTAAGATGTAGTCTCCCACAAAACCTAAAGCTATGTTGCTTTTGATCAGAATATTTCACGACATCACCAGAAGTGGAAGCAGAACATCACACTACGGTGGTACTGCTCACCTGGGCACCAGACTTAGAGAGACATTAGCTGAGTTAAGCAGAAGTCAGGAGAACAATTATGCCCAGTGAAAACACAATCCGCACTCTTACTGGATCATGTTTCATGCCAGAAGTAGGGTCAGGACCACCCCATCAGATGTCAGGGTAGACGAGTGATGACCTCTGAGTATTTGATAGACTATTCCATGTTGAAGGACAGAGTCATACATTTAATGAGTGCAGGACCAGCCCTTAAATGTCACAACAAGGAAGCTGAGAAGGGGAAGGAAAAGCAGACCCCAGTTCAGTGGGTTGACCACACACTGATAAGATCAAGTTTACAGTTACTTGTAAAATTGAGGGGTGTGGTGAGGGAGGGAAGGAACTTTCAATAGGAATTAGGTGAAATTTAGAAAGTAAAGTTGAAATCGTGTAGCTCACTGGGCAAGTGGCTAGAGAATTCCTGTGTACCTGTTCAGTATGGCTTTGAATTTGGGGGAGGGAAAATGGGAGGCTCACTGGGAAGCAGTAAATCAGTAATATTCAACTTAATTTACTGTTTATGGTTTTTAGATAAGAGAAAATGGACAGTAATTGGTAACCTTGGAGGAGGAGAGTTTAAAATTCATTCAGTTATCTGGGGACTCAGCTCAGTGGTAGAGTGCTTGTCTAGAACTCCCCCCTCCCCCTGAAGTGAGGGGCCAGGGCCGTGGCTCAGCAGTAGCACACTTCTCTAGAATTCGCCAGTGAGAGCCTGTGGGTGTGGATCTGTGTTTGAACACTTGCTGAGTTGTGCTCAAGGCCCTAGATTCAACTTCCAGCCTCATAAAACAATAAAAAGTATTATAAAATTAAAATAGAGTATACGAGCTTTTGTATTGTCCTAGGTATCGTACATAATCTGGAATGATTTAAGTAAGGACACCGTGCAGGGGTGAACAGGTTAAATGCAAACAGTTTGATGTTTTATGTCAGGGATTGAACATCTACAGGTTCTGGATGGTTCTGAAACCCGTCTCCCACGCCTACTGTAAGGCAACAGTATGCATCCTAAGAGGATAATTTTGTTGCAGTTTGAAATACAAGAAGTAATGAGGACTATGCAAATGTTTTCTAGCATTTTCCCTTTAACGCTAATAAATGACCATGCTAGAGTAATAAATAAAATCTTAAAAAGAGAAATGTTTCCCTTATTAGGAGACCCCCAACCTGTCCGTTTTGGGATATTGCCATTGGTTAGAAATGAATTCATTATGATTATCTATGTACACCTTTATGTATTTGAGCATAAACAGTGAGCTGGAGAGGTGGCCCAGTGTGGTTACTTCTATTATAACTTTGACTCCAAAAGGGGATTGTTTAGATCAGCTTGGCCTGTAGCCATGTCTGTGGGGGATTGTCTTGATTGCCTTCATTGATGTGTGAAGACCCAGCCAGGAAATGGTCAGCACCAGTCCCTAGTTTTAAGTCCTAAGACTATATTAGTATAGAGAAAGCTAGCTGAGCAGTAAGCCCAAATGCATTTATTTCTCTCTGTTCTTGACTGTTGATGAGGTGTGCCCAGCTGCTTCAAAGCTCCTGTTGCCATGACTTCCCCAAAATGATGGAACGTAACCCAGAGCTGTAAGCTAAATAAACCCTTTCTCCCCTAAGTTGCTTTTTGTAAGGGTATTTTATCCCAGCCACAGAGAGAAAACAAGGGCATGCAGTCAGCCTCGTGTGTGCTTTACAAGCATGAGAACTTGATTTTGATCCCTGGAACTCATGTCAAAAAAGCTGAGCCTAGCGGTGTGTGCCTGTAATCCCAGTGCTGGGGAGGGTGAGACAGGTAGGTACCCGGGGCTCACGGGTCAACTGGCTTCTTCAGCAAGTTGCAGGTCAGTGAGAGACCCTGTGTTGTGGGATGTTTTTACACTGTATGAAGGGGTATTTGTTTTAATAAAAAGTTGACCGGCCAATAGCTAAGCAGGAGGTATAGGCAGGATTTCCGGGGAGAGAGAGGAAGTAGGAGGAGGAATCTAAAAGTTTGGGAGAGATACGAAGAGACACAGAGAAAGCAGCAGAATGGGCAGTACGTGTCAGAATGTAGATAAATAAAATGAGTTAATTTAAGCTATAAGAGCTAGTTAAAAACAAGCCTAAACTAAGGCCAAGCTTTCATAAATAATAGTAAGTCTCCGTGTCATTATTTGGGGCTGGCAGCAGAAAAGCAAGTCCATCTACAACCCTGTTTCAATAAACAAGGTGGACAGATCCTGATGCAAAACAGCCCTTGAGCATATGTATGTAGGTAAACTAGCACACACACCAACATGTGTACACACTTACACGTATACAAATGATGGTGATGAGGATGAGTACGATAGGCTGTAGTGACCGCTCAGCAAGTAAGGCACTTGCTACCAAGCTTGACAAACCTGAATTCCATCCTCAGGACCCCCATAATTGAAGGAGAGAGCTGACTTGTGAAAGTTGTCCTCTGACATCCATATGCACACCATTGCATGCGTTCACACATGTACACATGTGGGCACGCACACACATAAATACACACACACACACACACACACACACACACACACACACAGACACACAAAATACATAAATAAAATGTAATAAAAACAAAAAGACAACAATGATAAAAAGAGGTCAATTTTTAAAAAAAGTAGCCAGGCCTCAGATGCTTTCTGAAGGCTAAATGGACCATGTTCTTCCCTGTTTTTATTAAACTTTAACCCTCACTATCTGCTATTTCTGCAAAGTTCTTTACCATCTGATCCAGCCCACCCCCACCCCCCACAAATGTGAAGCTAAGAAGGAACCTAGGACTATTGGATGGTCTATCTAGATTGCAGGTCCCATGTTCATGTGTAAAACTGCATTGCTAGTGCGAGCTAAGGTCACACGAGTGTTTTTGGCAGTCAGCTCACACCGCTGACCTGCCCTGAGCATCCTGACAACCCAGCTCCCCAGGCTTTTCACAGAAACTGCAACTCCACACAGCTCCATCTTCCCACACCTGTGCCTTTTGGACCCAAGGGCAGAACCTTACATTTGTTCCAATTAAATTTTATCTTGTTAAACTCAGTTCATCACTCTATCCTGTCAAAAATGCCTGAAGCCCTTCTTAGGTTTTTCCAAAATATATGCTCAACTCCCACAACCTTCCGCCTAGCTTCCTACACATGTTTGAATCCTTTTTCTCCGGCAGTTCTGTTCCCTGCATCCAGGATTTAAAGATGTACAAGACTCTTGCTGCGGCTTTCAAAGAGCTCACAGACACATAACAAGTGTGTCCGATGTGGTTGTGCATACCTGTAATTCCAGCATTGGAGAGGTGGAAGAAGGGTATCAATCATTCAAGGCCAGACTTGGCTTCATAGGGAGTCTGAGGCCAGTTGAGACCCTGTCTCAAAGCACAGCAAACAGGCCTGGTGACATGGCTTCTCAGGTAAAGATGTTTGTCTCCAAGACTGACGCCCTGAGTTCCGTCTCTGAAAGCCACAAAGTGAAAGGAAAGAACCGATTTCCCCCAAACTGTCCTGACTTCTTCTTGAGTGTTATACACACACACACACACACACACACACACACACACACACACACACACCTTCCTCTTACACAAAATAAATACACAAAAATGCACTGAAACACCCAAACATACATCCACACAAAACAAACAACAGCAACAAATTGGCGTGGTGGCTCATAGGAATTATGCCCGGCACTCCTCCAGAGACTGAGGCAGGCGGCTGTGAATCGAGGCTAGCCTGAGCTACTTAGTGAGTTCCAGGCTAGACTTGGCTGCAGCATAAGATCTCATCATAACAATATAAAACAAAACAAACCTTACATTTAAGCCTAGTGTGATGGTACATGTCTGTCATCCCAGCATATGGGAGGTGGAGGCAGGAGGATCAGAAGTTCAATACGACCCTGTCTCAACAAAGACAAATGCCATACAGTGTGCTGTATGCAATAAATAACTGTTTTTTTCTGGGAATGGTAGAAGAATGCCCTAATCTATTAGACCTGTGTGATAGAATGGAGAATGAAGGGATGCTCCCCTCTGCAGGTGACATCTGCCTTGAATCCTACATGAAGATTAGCGAGCATGATGTGAGTGAGAACCGACAGCAGCATCTGCTATTGCATTAATGGCCAGAGTCGGTTTGGTTGATCTGGCTGGCTAGGCAGGTATCTCTCCCCTCTCTTACTGCTCCGTGTGTGTCCCCCCTGAGGCTCCAATGCTGGTTGCCAGCGGATGACTTTCCCCAGAAGAGGAGGACAGTTCTTCAGTCAAGGGTAAACCAGCAGCTGTACACCCCTGCGAGAACTTCCAGAGAAGCTCTGTAGAGAAGAGTAGAGGATCTAGGATGTATTACGGGATCTCGGGTAGGGCTGTTCTACTTTGCTTTGCTGTGGCTGTAATAAAAAACGTCATGATCAAAAACACCTTGTAGGGCAAATGGTTTATTTCATCTTACAGGTCATAGTCTACCATGGAGGGAAGCCAAGGCAGGAACCTGAAGTAGAAATCATGCAGAAAATTTGCTTCCTGGCTTGCTCCGAGGCACACATTCAGCTGGCTTTCTTATACAGCCTGGGCCCACCTGCCTAGGGACAGTACCAGTCACACAGTGGGCTGGGCTCTCTGACGTCAATTAGCAAACCAGATAATGCCCCACAGACATGTCCACAGGCCACTCTGATAGAGGCGATTCTTCAAGTGGGGGTACCTTTTCTGAGGTGACTCTCAGGTTATGTCAGGTTGATGATAGAAACTAACCAGCAGTAAATCCAAGTCTCACAGAGTGGGGGTACATCAGAGAACATGTATCTAGAGTAGTTCTCAACTTTCCTAACACTGCGACCCTTTAATAAAGTTCCTCATGTTGTGTTGACCACCAACCATGAAATTATTGTCGACACTTCATAACTGTAATTTGGTGAGCTGCAGGACGATGAGAGACTATATCTCAAAGGGAAAAAGAATAGGTCCTTGAGAGATGATGCTTGAGGATGATACCCAAGGTTGTCCTCTAGCCTACACACACACACACACACACACACATACACACACACACACACACACACACACTTGTATTAGGTAGTTTTCTGTCAACTTGACACAAGCTAGAGTCATCAGAGAGGAGGGAACCTTAATTGAGAAAATGCCTCCATAAGGTCTGGCTGTAGACAAGCTTGTAGGACATTTTCTTAATTAGTGATTGATGAGGAGGTCCCAGCCCACTGTGTGTGGTGCCATCCCTGGGCTGGTGGCCCTGGGTTCTATAAAAAGCAGGCCGAGCAAGCCATGGGGAGCAAGTCAGCAAGTAGCAATCCTCCATGGCCTCTGCATCAGCTCCTGCCTCCAATTTCCTGCCTTGTTTGAGTTCCTGTCCTGACTTCCTTTAGTGATGAACAGTGATATGGAAGTGTAAGCCAGATAAACTCTTTCCTCCCCAACTTGTTATTTATTTATTTTTTTTGGTCCTGGTATTTCATCGCAGCAATAGAAACCCTAAGACAACCCTATATCCAGCTGAAAAACCAGATGTGAGGCACAGTGAGTGCTTAATGAATCCATATGTTTCCTATTTTAAGTGGTGAGAGACTTACAAACTTAGCACCTAGGCCAACACAAATCACACTTCTTTGGAGCCTTTTTGGGTCTAGAGGCAGGATTTTTATATAACTCCTTTAGATAACTGGCAAAAAAAAGAAGGCATCTTTTCAGGTCTGCAAATGAGAAGAGTCTTGTGTTTGTTTTACGGAAGACTAGATAGCTAGTCCTGAACCCTTGGTGGATTCTTCTGCCTCCATCCAATTTGTGCTGGTGTTCCCCTACGATCTTCTTCACCCATATCAAGCTCCAGCAAGAAGCTTCTGGACCCGACAGGCCAGCCACAACTGAAGACTCAGTCCTCTGGTCACTGAAGACTCTGGGCCAATGCTGCCTTCTGATTGGCCAGCACATTTGCTTTCTAGAGTCTCAAGTATAGTTGGATATGGTGCTCAAATTTTGAAGATGTAGACCTTAACTTGGGCATTTTCTAGACTTCTCTTTGCTATTCTGTGCTTGACATACTTTACTTTGGTTTTTTTTTTTTTTTTTTTTTTTGGAGATCCTGGAGATTGATCCGAAGATCTCATGCATGCTAGACAAACAGTCTTCCTTTTGTAAAACGGCAGTAGAGAGACCTTGGTGGGTTGGAGCCAAGGTGCCTCATGGCAGGTAAGAGCCAGAGACATGCCATACAGACAGCGCTCACGTGGAGAGTTTTATGAGTGGTGAAGGGGGAAGGGAGAGGAGAGAGAGAAAGGGAGCTCAGAGCTGCCTTGTGTGTGTGTGGAAGATAGAGAAAGAGAGCGGACAGCGGGGGTGGGGGGTGCTGAGAAGAGAAGATGAGAGAGAAGGTAGGCGGGGCCCCACCTTTTTAAGAGAGGGCTTCGAGAACGCACAGAGAGATCATGTAGCAATGAGCGTATGTATGACGTTGTCAGGACCCTTGAGCAGGCCAAGGTACTGCCTGTACATTGGCCAGATCCCGAGGGGCGGGTCTGAATGCTAACACTACCATCCCTAGCCTCTCACTTGGAGGGAGTTGGGTCGAGGCTAGCACCCTGTCACTGGGCTACACCCCGACTCACACTCTCCTAATCGGGGGATTCTAGGCAGGTACTTTACCACTGGACCACACTTCAGCCCCCTCAGTGTGTGTGTGTGGGGGATTCTAGGCAAGCATTCTACCTCTGAACCACACTCTAGCTCCTCAGTAGGGATTCCAGGCAAATGCTCTGCTACAGAACCACGTCCCTACCCCCTCACTGGGATATTCTATGGAACCATTCCTTGAAACGTTTCATTATCAAGTTCTTAGCGTTCCCTTGGAATTCACTAAGCTCAATAGAACCACGTTTTTTGAGTGAAGTGTTCGGTTACAGAACCCTTCCTTCGTGAGCCCTGGCCTTGCTTTCCTATGTTAATCCTAGCTTTTTCCAAGCTAGCATTACTCTCTCTGAAGGGGATGAAAGAACAGAGCAGGAGATGGAAGGGTGGAAGACGTCTGAGGTAGAGAGAATGGCGGGAAGCAGCAATGTGTGTGGGGAATGGTGAGGGACCAAGACGGACCGTGGTTTACGGTGTGTCTTCAGGAAAGGAGATGGAAGGGACTGATCATTTGGGACCAAGGCACATAGAACCTTGAATGTCACACTGAGGAGCTCAGGGGAACCATAAAGAAATAGACATAGGCTTGGGTTAGAGATGGTGGGTGTGGTGTAAGGGAGGGCTGAAGGTAAGGCACACATTAAGGGATATTTGTGCAAAGATATACAAATTAGTTACTTTTATCATTTCTGTGACCAAATACTCAGCAAAAAAATAGCTTAGAGTAGTGGTTCCCAACTTATGGATCGCGACCCCATTTGGGGTTGAATGACCCTTTGACAGGGGTCACCTAAGACCACAGGAAAACACAGGTATTTACATTATGATTTGTAACAGGAGCAAAATGACAGTTATGAAGTAGCAATGAAAATAATTTCATGGTTGGGGGTCACCACAACATGAGGAACTGTACTAAAGGGTCACAGCATTGGGAAGATAGAGAAGACTTAGAGGAAGAAGGTCTTTTTGCCTCATGGTTCAAGAAGGGACAGTCTATTATGATGGAGTTCATGGCAGTGGGGAGATATGGATGAAATGTCTTATATCCTGACAGACCAGAAAGCAAAGAGGAGACAGGAAAGGGAAACAGTCCAAAACCTCTCAAAACTGTACCGCAGCTGGGGACCAAGTATTCACACACACGCACATGTGGGAGAGATTTCACATTGAAGTCGTAATCATGAACAAGGAAGAAGATATCGAGGGCTTGAGAAGGATGGGCCGTAGGGACACAGAGTGAGCAGCATGGTGACAATAAGTCTTCCTGAGAGTCACTGGACATATGAGACAGCACCTGACTGCTGTCTGGGTCTTTAGTCTGGAGGAGATTCCCTGGGAATTCCACACAGACATGGTATTTGGCTGTGGGAATCAGGGGTGCCTTTGATAAATCTGGCCCTCATTAGTGAGCACCAAGAGTGCACACACGGACACAGATAAGCAGCTTGTGGGCTCTGGGCAGTGGCAAATCAGCCCCATTAGGGAAGCATGTTAGTATGAGCAGCATTGTGCAATGGTGAGTCACCCTGATGCCTGTGTTTCCACCCTCATGCAGATACATGCCCCCTGTGAGCCCCTTGGCATTCCGCAATGCAGATGACTTGATGGGCCCAGCTGCCTGACCATGAGGGGCAAGTACTGTGGATTTCCCCCACCCAGAAGAAAGGGGAAGAAGTGATCCTGTGCCCTCTGACTCATCCATTTCTGCCAGGGTTGTTATATCTCCTCCCAGACTGAAGACACCACTGTCATCTTTGACTCTGCCGTCACTGCCCTCCCTTTTGAGTCTCTGTCATAGCTTTATCTGGAGATCTGATAGACTTTGCAACACGGAGAGGGTGCTCGATGGAGCTGCAGATGATCGTGACCTAGCTCCAGGCATTATGTCCCAGGCATTCCTCCATTCACTATTAATCCTGGAATGAGTCATCTCCCATGAGCCCATCAGGCAGTCACACAGTAGCAGGACACTGGGTGGCAGCCAGTCTGTGATTGTGTTTAGTTAGGCAGTAGCCTGAGGGAAGAGAGACTATATTAATTATTTTCTAGTCATGACTTGTCTGAATGCCTCACCGAAACCACAGAAGGGGGGAAGGATTTATTTTGGCTCCTGGTTTTGGAGGGCTTAGTCCATGGTGGCTTACCTTGGTGTGCTTGGACAGAATATCACTCAGGGTGGCTGGAAGGTGTGGTAGAGGACCCTCTTCATCTCACTGTGAACGGGATGTAGAGAGAGGAAGTACAGGGAGGGGCCAGGGGAAGATACAGTCGTGTGATGACTCATTTTAATGTCAATGTGTCCCAAATTAGAATCTCCTGATAAGGAGCAAGCCCTTAACTGAAGAACTGTCTTCATGGCCTTAACTGAGGTGGGAAAACCCACCCTGAGTGTAGACCTCAGCTTCTGTTAGCAGCCCACCTAAACAGGGCGTGGCAGAAGGAAGATTACTGCCTTTTGCTGGATTGGATTTCCCTCTTGGTAGCGAATTGATCTGCTTGTTGCGGCTGCTGCTGCTCCTGATTCCATTTGCTGACACCAGAACCAGCCCTTCAGGCTTCCATCACTGACTAAGGACCTTAGGTAGCTATCCAGGAACCTTCCAGGTTTTCAGCATCTGATTGGTACTGCCAAGCTTCTTGGCCTTGAGGGTTGAGAAACTACTGGGTTGTAGGCCTCTCCACAGTGAGAAAGCCACAGAGGGGACACTCCAGGTGCGAGTCCCTGAGTCTCGAGGACTGAGCAACTACTGGGTTCTCAGGCTCTTGGGTATGATTCATCTGCTGTTACTATTTCAAAATACTCTGGTTTAATAAATTGTACATACATACATAACATAATTGTCTGAGGATGGGAGGGCAGGGGTACATGTATATGAGGAGCGTGTGTGTGTGTGTGTGTGTGTGTGTGTGTGTGTGTGTGTGTGTGTGTCTATGCATGTGGAAGCCAGAGGACAACATGGGGTGTCTTAGTTTTTGAGACAGTCTTTCATCAGACCCCAGAGCTCGCTGATTCAGCTAGGCTGGCTGGCCACAGAGCCTCAGGGGTCCTCCAGGTTCTCCTTTCCCAGCTCCAGGATTACAAGTGTGCACCACCATGGTTGACCTTCGTGTGGGTTCTGAGGGTTGAACTTAGGTCCTCATGCTTGTGTGACAAGTGTGTTACTAAGCTATCTCCTCAGCCACCTGAAGTTTTGACACCCTCCCAGGGTAGTTCCAGAAATCAGGGAACAAGCAGGCAGCACATAAACTCGTGAGGCATATTTCATATGTAAGTCATAACACAGCCAGCCAGCTCATGCCCAACAGCACTTAGGTCAGGCTCTGGCTGGATACATACCTTGGAACACTTGGTGAGGCTTGAGACTGGCACTAAGGAGTAGACTTGTTAGCTGTGTCTGTGGAGGTGTTCACTGGAAGGAGAAGGAAGAGAAGACTGCTCCTTGGAGCGCCTCCACAAAGCTAGACCGAGATCTGGAGAACTGACACAGGGCAATTCCAAATGTGGGCTGGAATGCAGAGTTCAAGCAAAAAAAAGAGTGATTTTGTGCTAAGACCCCAGGCCACAACATTGGGGTTAGACGGGTGCCCTGGTTTGCTGAGAGCGAACACAAAACCCTGCAAAAGAATGAGCTTGTGCATACACATATGCATGTGTGCATGTGTGTATATACATGTATGCATGTGTGTGCATACACATGTGTGCATGTGTGTGCATATACATGTGCAGGCCATAAGACAATCTCCGTTCTCACCTTGGTTTTTTAGACAGGGTTTTTCACTGGCTTGGATGTCACCGAGTAGGCTAGGCTGGCCAGCTGTTGAGCTCTACCTCTCCAGTACTGGGATTGTAAGGGCAGGCAACCATAATTGGCTTTTTCATAATGGTTCTGGGGATCAAACTCAGGTCCTCATGTTTGCCTGGCAAGTACTTTATTGACTGAGATATCACCCCAACTCACATTATTAGCCTTTTATCTGGGAGCCCTGGGATCATGATCCCTGAGACCCTGGGAAGCCTGAGGATAGAAGATCCTTTTTCCCTCCCTCCCTTTCTTCCTCCCTCCCTCCCTCTCTCCCTCCCTCTTCCATTTTATCCCTTCCAAGTAAATTCCAATCTACATTTTAAACCCTAATCGGACAGTCCCCTTCCCCAATTCACTCAGTACATGCATCAGTACACAGAATTCTTTGAAGATAAGGAATCGTGTTTCATCACACAACCCACTGGTGGGTAGGGATGAAGTGGGTGGCTGGAAGGTCATGCTCTATCTCCACAAGGGTGGCATGCCTCAAAGACATTTACAGGTGTACATAAGTTACAGCCAGAGAGGGAGACTTCATGGAGCTCTCAACACAGATGTTCTCAGTGCTGTCCCAAATGTTGCTTACTTTGAAACGGACAAAGAATTCGGAAGAGTTGAACTCTGTAATGCTCAGCTTCTTGGCCAATCATCATTTTGTTGGTTTTGTTGCTGTGGGATGTTCTGTATGGCAAATGTGTTGCTAATTAGTCAATAAATAAAACACTGATTGGCCATTGGCTAGGCAGGAAGTGTAGGTGGGGCAAAGAGGAGAATAAAGCTGGGAAGTGGAAGGCTGAGTCAGAGAGACACTGCCAGCTGCCACGATGAGAAACAGCATGTGAAGATGCCGGTAAGCCACGAGCCACGTGGCAAGGTATAGATTAATAGAAATGGATTAATTTAAGCTGTAAGAACAGTTAACAAGAAGCCTGCCACGGCCATACAGTTTGTAACCAATATAAGTCTCTGTGTTTACTTGGTCGGGTTTGAGTGGCTGTGGGACTGGCAGGTGGCAGAGATTTATCCTGACTGTGGGCCAGGCAGAAAAACTCCATCTACAAATGGCGTCCAACGTGGTGGCAAGAGTTTCCACCTAAAACCTGAGAAAAGATTCTAAAACGGAACTAAAAACAGTTCCTAATTGTCTCTCTCAAATGAGCGGCAGCTGCTGGTTTGAGCTACTGGTAGGTTCCTGGTGTGTGTGTGCTCGACCTGCAGTATGGAGGAATGAGGCCTCTGCAAGTGGCACATTAAGCTGCATGGTGGATTTAGCCTTTACTAGTACAAAACAAAAAAAGAGGTTTCTGGGCTACACGTTGCTTGGCTAAAAGAATAGACCCACGATAGCTCCCAGAGCCGGCGGTAAACCACCACCATGTTGGGAAGCTGAGGTGGGCGGAGCCAGCAGCCACAGCTGCTGCAGTTTAAGGCAATAGATTCACAATAAGACAGATTCAGATGTAATAGTTTACAATGTGTGTAAAAGATACGTAGGCTTGAAAGAGACAAAAAAGGTGATATATAGAGTTATAGAAACAAATACATAGTTTTAAAAAATAAAGTCTTTAAAGAGACAGTAAAGGTAGTATAAAAAATAAGCCACGTAAAAATGGATATTACACAGAGAATCTGGACTGTGTTGTCTTTGGGATTTTTAACTGCAGAAAAACATTTGATTGTAAAAGCTGTTGAGTTAAACCAATATATATATTTTAAAGATACCTTGACTTCAAAATTTGGATATAAGGATATGTTGCTTTGGAAAAGAGTCTCTTTTGTTTCCACAGAAAGCCAGAGGCTATGGATTTGTTCCAGATTAAGATATATCAGGTTTGACCAGCCAAGACCCCCTGAAAGGTCTCCGATGACACCATGGTTGGTATTAAGATTAAAGGCATGTGTATCCAATAATGGTTGTATCCCTGAACACACAGAGACTTACCCAGCTCTGCCTACTAAGTGCTGGAATTACAAGCGTACGCTACCACTGCCCTGCTTTCCTATGGCTTGCTAATAGCTCTGACCCCCGGGCAACTTTATTTATTAACATACAAATAACATTTTAATACAAATAAAATATCACCATATTTTGTTACTTGTTCTTTGAATTTTTTTTTAAGATTTTCTTTTCTTCTTTTCTCTCCCTGCCCCTCATTTTTTTTTCAAGACAGGGCTTCTCTGTGTAGCTCTGACTGTTCCAGAACTCTCCCTATAGACCAGGCTGGCCTTGAACTCATAGAGATCTGCCTGCCTCTGCCTCTAGAGTGCTGGAATTAAAGGTATGCACTACCTGGATGAGATTGGGCCTTTGGTGTGTACTTCTGTCTGCTCTGGGCTACTTGTGGTGATTCTCCTGTCTCTACCTCTGAAGTGCTGGGATGCTGGGAACCCACACCTGTAATCCTAGCATTTAGAAGGATGAGGCAGGAGGATTGCTAGCCCAGGCTACAGAGCAAGACCCTGTCTCAACAAAACTAAACAAACATAGCAAGAAAGCCACCTGAGATGAATAAATCAAGTTCTAAGTTTGCAAGACTCTGGCTGGTAATAATTTCTGGGAACGGTGCTCAAACTAGCTCTGTTTCTTTTCCAGGGCGTCTAATATTTCAAAGGCATGGTAACTGCATACATACAAAAGTGTAATATACATTCATAGCTTGTGCATATGATGGTATGTGTTCAATGATATTTGGTCACTGAATAAAGAAGATTTGGTACTGTGTGTGTGTGATTCTTTTACTACTTGTTCCATGGATCTTTGTGACAGGGCCTCAGCATGAGGGATGCATGACATGATTGGCCAGTTTAGGCAAGGCTTAAGTGCAGATGGTGCGTTGGTATGAATTGGAATATTGTCCTATAATTCTCCTTGGTCCTCTCTCACCATACCAAGCAAAGTGACGCTTCCTCTTTCAAAGACTAATTAGCCAATCTGAAGTTCCTTTAAACTCTACCTTTCTCTCCTTCCTGCTGAAGGCACCTTTGAATGAATTTCACCCCACTAAAGAGAGAGGAGGGCAGGGAGAATGGCGATAGATGTGGTGGGAAATTTTCACGTGGGCGGGAAGCAACTACTAAAATTAAATGTATAGATTACTCATGGGTTTCATTATTCAGTGTACTCCTGTTCCCCACTGACACGGATAACTGGAAATGGGCTTCTCTGGCTTTGAAAAGATCACTCTTTGAAAAGATCACGGCAACACAGTGGATGATTTATGGAGCCAGATGAATGAGGAGCCTGGGTCTTTGGATTTTGTATGTGTGCATGCTTTAGAAAGTGTTCGGTGTATAGCTTTCAGTGGATCAATTAATACTTCCTGGGAGTCTTCCATCTTTCATTAGGGGATTGATGAAGTAGGCCAGAGCCCCTGACTTAGGGAAGCATGAGCTACCTATTATACAGAAACACTGTGAACTTGTAGTCTCTTAACATTATGATTTAAAACAAGAATGAACCAACGTTTATCTGAGGTCCTCTAGACCATGTGAGACCTGTTTGTTCTCCCTCTCTCTCTGTCTTCCTCTGTCTTCACACACACACACACACACACACACACACACACACACTGTGGCTTTCTTACTCTTTACAATAGTAGTGATGCAGGGATTACAACCTGTTTCTATTTTTCACTTTTTGTGGTACTTGGATGGAACTAAGAGCCCCCCCTTCTTTTTGCATTCCAGGCAAATGTTCTCCCACTGAGCCACACCCCAGCCCCTCACTGGTGGATTCTAAGCAGGTGCTCTACCACTGAGCCGCACCCCAGCCCCTCACTGGGGGATTCTAGGCAGGTGCTCTACCACTGACCCATACCCCAGCCCCTCACTGGGGGATTCTAGGCAGGTGCTCTACCACTGACCCATACCCCAGCTCCTCACTGGGGGATTCTAGGCAGGTGCTCTACCCTGAGTCACACCCCAACCCCTCACTGGAGGATACTAGGCAGATGTTCTACCACTGAGCCACACCCCAGCCCCTCACTGGTGGATTCTAGGCAGGTGCTCTACCACTGAGTCACACCCCAGCCCCTCACTGGAGGATACTAGGCAGGTGTTCTACCACTGAGTCACACTCTAGCCCCTCATTGGAGGATTCTAGGCAGGTGCTCTACCACTGAGCTACACTCCCAATCTCTCAGTGGGAGATTCTTGGCAAGCACTCTACATCTAAGCCACATCTTCATTCCCTCACAAGGGGATTTTAGGCAGGCACTCTACTGTTGAACTGTACACCAGCCAATCTAGACTGCCCTCCTTTGAATGGAATGGATGACATGCACCAGACTGTTCATAAAGAAACTCACCTTAACTGTAGAAGTATTTCTCCCAAATGGAGACCGTCCCCGCCCCCCCCCCCACCCCCCACATTCTACTGCTTTAAGCTATATGTTGGGATGAATTAATTCTTCCTCTGCTACTCCTTCTCTGGCTGGGCACTCAGTCCACTCCAGTATATTTTGAAAAATATCTGCCCTCTTTCATATGGGTGTACGACTTTTCAGCTCTGATGCTTGCCTACCTCTGTTGGCTAAGCACGTCTATGCCTTTTCACTTCAGTTCTGGTGGGAATTGGATTGCACTAGTTTTATCTGCCTGAGCTGGGCCACACAAGCCAGATGTCACGCTAGCTTATTTTAGTTCACACGGAAGCTGTTATTTGAAAGGTGGGAGGTAGGTCAGATTGCAGGAGGTCATTTTCAAGCCCTGGTCTTATCCTCTCCGGTTCAGCTCTTTAAGTCAACGACTCAGAAGATACTCAGCAAGGTGTCCGACATGTAGTGTTTATGGGTTGTAAGTGTGTGTGTGTGTGTGTGTGTGTGTGTGTGTGTGTGTGTGTGTGTAGCCAGATGTCAACCTCAAGTGTCATATTATTTTTGAGAAAGGAGCTCATTGATTCAGTTAGGCTCCCTGGCCAGAGAGCCCCAGAATCCTCTCTTCCTCTCCAGCTCCAGAGTTGAGTGAACACTTTGATTACATGTACTCTGGGGATCGAACTCAGATCCTCATGCTTGTATGGCAAGATCTTTGCTGATTGAGGCCTCTTCCCAGCCTTCCACACCTATTTAATTGTCTAATAATTAATCAATTAATCATTTTGCTCCTCTTGACCAAAGATAGGACCCTTGAGATAGGACAAGGGGACTCTGCATTTTAGACGGTTACTCAACTACCATTATGGAGCGTTATGAAGCTGACAGAATCCAAATTAGATACTGCCAGAAGCAATAATTTGCAGTATATGTTCCTCTTATGAACAGGATCAGTAGATTATTTTCATTAGAAAAATAAGACCACAGGGGTTAAGAGATGGTTCAGAGGTTAAGAGTACTCGCTGCTCTTACAGGCAATCCAAGTTCTATTTCCAATACCTGTATTGAGTGGCTCACAACTGCCCGTAACTCCAGTTCCAGGGCATCCGATACATTCTTCTGTCCAAGGGACCTCATACACACATGGCACACACAGAGAGATATGCATGTACCTATGCAGAAATAAAAAGGAAAAATAAAACTTAAAAATGAAGAAAAAGAACAAAGAGGAAAGGCAAAAAACAGTCCCATAGGTGCAGAGAATAGCTAACGTTTTGTACTTCACATTCTGTAAGACAGAATTTAACCATCAGTTTTCACAGGGCTTTAAATGCGACAGGACAGTAAAGCTGAAAATATGTTGATTTCCTCTTTTACCTATGTGTATGTGTGCATGTCTACGTGCATAGGAGTGCAGGTGCCTGTGGAGGCCAGAAGGGGTCAGAGTCCCTCCAGCTGGAGAGACAGGTGGTTGCGAGCCATCTTGCATGGGTGCTGGGAACCGAACTCAGATCCTCAGCAAGAACTTCAAGTGTGCTCCTAACTGCTGAGCCACCTTTCCCAGCCCCTGAACAACACACTCTTAATTGGAATATCTTGGCCGGTGGCCAGGCCTAGTCAGTGAAAAACTTGAAATTATGACAAGCACTTAGCTAACAAGGCCTACTTTGATGACTAGATAGTCATCATTGATAAGCGGACCATGTTTATAGGCAGAGGGTACTGATAAAGCGATCAAACACCCAGAGTTCATTTTCTTAGATTACACATTCCCCCCTTCCAATTTTGTTGGAATTGATAATTTGATTCACAATCATATTTAAAAAAAAAAAAATCACAACAATTCCCAGAGGAACTGTTTCTGAATGTTTTAATGTTTGTTAAAAAGAAAACGAGTGTTTATTATCAACTTGTGAATTTGTAATTGCTAAAAAATTTTATTAAATTCTAATTATTTTCCCGGGAGAAAATTATATGAACGGAATGCCAGCAGCACCTCTTGTGCTCTGGTGAGATGAGAGCAAGGGGACATGTACACGTGGTGCAGGTCAGGAGCTGCCTTCAGGAGTCTAATCACAGTGCTCGGGAGCTGGAGGCAGCAGGACCGGGGGTGCAAGTCCAGCCTTAACTACATAGCGAGTTCCAGAGTTCCAGTCCAGCCTGGGCTACATGAGATCCTGCCTCAAAAAGACCAAACACAAAAAACCCCCAATAAACATACACATTCAAATGCTTGCCTGCATGATGGTCTATAAGTTATCAGCACTGTGTGAAAGCCTCTCCTAGGAAACAAGCTCCCCTTCTGATTGGCACCAGGCTTCAGCTTTTTCTTTCTCCCAGCAGGAGACTCTAGAAGAGATTCCATTTTCTTAGGGTCTATTGTTTCAATATTCTGAGAGCTAAAGGGAGGAGCACACATGTCTCTCCTTGGAACATCTTTTCTTCCAAGATGCTCACGCACCTGTTAAATTCTGTTTCCTTGCCTAGGTTTGATACCTCATTTTGTCTCAACTCTGATACGGCTTCCTGGAGGCAGACCAAGTGTGGGTCTTTGGGAAAGCTCGTTGTAAACACATCCTGAATGTCCTAATTCCATCCTTTCGTTTCTGTAAGAAAATACCCCGGTAAAAAGTACCATAGAGGAAGAGAGTTCACCCTAGCTCCAAATTCCAGGTTACACAGTCCATCAGAGCAGGGAAATCAAGGTGGCAGGATGTTGAAGCGGCTGGTCCCATCACACCCACAGTCAAGAGCAGAGAGAGATGAATGCATGCACGCTTAAAGGTCAGATTGCCGTTTCTAGTCTAATACAGTCCAGGACTCCAAACCAGGGAATGGCACTATGCACAGTAGACTGGCTTTTCCTACATCCGTGCAATCAAGGCATTTCCCTACAGACTTACCAATGGCTCAGAAAGATCTGGACAACCCCTCATTGAGATTTTCTTCCAGGTGATTCTGGAATGTCCACATGGTGGTTTGAATGACATATCCTCCATAAGTCTCAGACATTTGAATACTTGGTCCCCAGTTGGTGGCTGTATGGGGAGGCTTAGGAGGTGTGGCTTTGCTGGAGAAGGTGTGTCATTGGTAAGGTTGGAGGCAGGCTTTGAGGTTTCAAAGGAATGTACTCTCTCTGCTTCCTGTTTGCGGTTTGGGAGAGATGATCAAACTAAGCATCACACTGAATTATCACACAGACCACCCATATTAACTCAGCATCAGTGACATCAACTCCCTTCTTGCACTAATAAAGAGGAAGGCTTTTAACATCCTGGGATCACATGATCTAGATTTCAGAAGGTTCCAATGAAAAATGTTTTCACTTCATTTTCTGGACCAAATGTCTTGGGTCTGCATGGTGCACTGATAGTTAAAATTCTTGATTCTATTTCGTAAAGGAGAATTT